TCCTTCTAAGCCTGTGGTACCAAGATAAATAATTTATATCACTGATTATTTATTCAGTGAAGGCAGGGATCTGTATGATATCTGTAAAAATTAACCCTCATTCACAGGCGAATCTTCATTTTGAAAAGTATTAATTAAATCTCAGGCTCAAGAAAATCGAGGTTAACCCATACGACAAAATGTTTTGTTTCTAATCTACAAGATGGGGTAAGAATTTGACGATTATGGTTTATAAATTACTAGCGATCCGCCCCGGCTCAGCACGGGCCCACTGCTGATATTAAATATAAATTTACCCACCGGAAATTTGAGGACATGGAGAAACAGTGATGAAAATATAATTTTGTTTTATCGACTCGCCTTTTGTCCCCGCGCCTGGCGCCCCAGTTGGAATATTTGAAAATCCTTTCTTATTGCACATCTACAACATAGTCTCTTCATACAAAATTTCAGCCTACGAAAATGCAGCGGTAAGAATAAATAGTGATGAAAAGGTAATTTTGATATGTAAAAGCGTCCCTTTTATCCCCACTGGGGGTGCCTCAGTTGGAATATGAAAATCCTTTCCTATTTCATATCTACATCATAAAACGAACTTACATACAAAATTTCATCCTCCGAAAATATAGCGGAACGCTTTTCTTTCACCCTCACGGGAGGCACCCCAACTGTAATATTTGAAAATCCTTTCTTAGTGCGCATCTAAGACCTAAGAAGCAACTATATACCAAATTTGAGATTCTTAGGACTTACCAGTACGGAGAAACAGATAAATGAGTGAGTGACTTTCGCATTTATAAGAATAGATGCTTTTGATAATAACAATTTACAAACTTCCTGAATACAACTGCTGCCATGGATAACTGTAGTTGCTTTCACATAGTATCATTAGGTCACCTTATTGCATAATACTTACCAATCTTATAATCATGTACCGGAAATAGAGATTTTTAGAATTATATTATCATAAAATAAATATTATTTGAATTTATCAACTACTTGAGATTTATAAGTACTCAAGGTCACATTAGTCTAATCAACAAGTTCAAAAACATGAAAAATAGAGACAAAGGTCCTAAAAATATGAGCGATAGCTCATTCGATTCGGAATCACCTCTAGAAAAATGTTTTTGGAGGATTTTGGTGCAGGTAAAAAATTGCAATTGTTATTAACCAAATAAGATAAAAAAAATGGTATT